ATCCGCGCTAGGCGGGACGCCGCGATCGTGCGAGCTCGAGCGATCGACGCGGTGCCAGGAGCCAAGGCCAGCGTCGCGACGACACGGTGTTGCCGTGCGCCGCGTGCGCCTTCAGGGGGCCCGATGAGAGCCCACACCTCCTCGCGCTGCGAGAGAAAGATCACGGCGAAAGTTCTTGTGGATTTTTTAGGCCTCCGGCGCCGACATCCTGGCCCCAGGCCCGCAGACAACGGTTTAGGATGAGAAGCCTGTCCCAAAAGCGTGGGTCCAGACCTCCAGGGGTCCACACAGTGAGCACAATCGCGACGTTGCAGATTTGGGGCAGGAGGAGGGAGATAGACAAATAGGAGGAGGAGGAGGAGGAGGAGGAGGAGGCGGAAGAGGAGGAGGAGGGACAGAAAAAGGCGGTGGAGGAGAAGGACATGGAGGAGGAAGAGGCGGAGGAGGAGAAGGAGGAGGAGGAGGAGGAAGAGGAGGAGGAGGAGGAGGAGGAGGGGAGCGGAAGGAGGCGGAGGAGGATGAGGAGGAGAAGGATCATGAGGAGGAGGAGGAGGAGGAGGAGGAGGAGGAGGAGGAGGATCAGGAGGAGGAGGAGGCGGATCAGGGTGAGGAGGAAGAGGAGGATCAGGAGGAGGAGGAAGAGGGGCAGGAGGATCAGGAGGAGGAGGATCAGGAGGAGGAGGAGGACCAGTGTAAACCCAAGAGCCATCAACGATGTTGGAATGAACCCTCCCTCCAAGCTCCCTCTTAATGGGCCCCTACAACGATTCATTTCGATTGAGGGAACTGCCTCATTGGAAGGCAACCTTTCGAAGATCCTGAAGCATGCGGAAACATTTTTTATTCGGGATTTGAACGCCAGGTATCAACCTGACTGCTGCGTTTTGGCGGTCCGGAATCGTGCCATACCGCCATGTTTGGATTCCGACACCGCGAACCAATATGATTGTTGCACCCGCATAATCCGGAATCCTTCCAAACGCCGTTCTTGGTACGCTGATCATAGCATTCCGCGAAACCCTGGCAATGTATTGAAAGGATTGTGCGCCGCGCTAAGGCGAGAGCCACATTTTGAAAAGGAACCGCCCTCAATCCGTGAAGCTCCTGCAAAGTTTGAAAACGAATGTGCGCGGCGCTAAGGCGAGAGCCACAGTTTGAAAAGGAACCGCCCTGAATCCGCAAAACTCTTGCAAAGTTTGAAAACGAATGTGCGCGGCGCTAAGGCGAGAGCCACATCTTGAAAAGGAACCGCCTTCAATGCGTGAAGTTCCTGCAAATGTTGAAAACGAATGTGCGCGGCGCTAAGGCGAGAGCCACATCTTGAAAAGGAACCGCCTTCAATGCGTGAAGTTCCTGCAAATGTTGAAAACGAATGTGCGCGGCGCTAAGGCGAGAGCCACATCTTGAAAAGGAACCGCCTTCAATGCGTGAAGTTCCTGCAAATGTTGAAAACGAATGTGCGCGGCGCTAAGGCGAGAGCCACATCTTGAAAAGCACCCGCCCTCCATATGTGAATATGGTGCCACTTGTTTAAGCTTCCGAGTCATAACTGATGAGGAAGTCTCAGGCGGAACGCCCGCCCGCTCTAAACACTGGCCTCGGTTGCGACAGGCAGGAGTCTATCTACATGAGGAGGAGCAGGAGGAGGAGCGGAGGAGGAGGAGGAGGAGAGGAGGACAGGAGAGGAGAGAGGAGGAAGGAGGAGGAGGAGGAGGAGGAGGGAGGAGGCGAGGAGGAGAGGAGGAGGAGGAGGAGGGAGGAGGAGGAGGGAGAGGAAGGGAGGAGGATGAGGAGGGAGGAGGAGGAGGGAGGAGGAGGAGGAGGAGGAGGAGGAGGGAGGAGGAGGAGGAGGAAGGAGGAGGAGGAGGAGGAGAGGAGGAGGAGGAGGATGAGGAGGAGGAGGAGGAGGAGGAGGAGGAGGAGGAGGAGGAGGAGGAGGGGGGAGAGAGGGAACGAGAAATCGGGGGAGTGCCCACAGAGGGCCGCAAGAAGGGCGTCATGGGGGGCGAATTCGAGAGGAAGTGAACTGGCCGGGGCGGAGGGGGAGCGGGGCCGGGGCGGAAGGGGGCGGGGTGCAGAGTGCATTGGGCGGCTGCGGGAGGGGGGGAGCTTCGTGGGAGCGTGACGGCGGGGGCGGTGCGACGCCGAAATAAAATGGTCGGGGCGGAGGGGGCGGGGTGGAAACGGCACTGGACGGGGGGCGGAGCGACGCCGAAGTAAAGTGGTCGGGCCAGAGGGGGTCACGCTGGTGGTGGTGGTGGGTGGTGTGGGTGGGTGGGTGGAGGGCGGGAGGGCGTGGCGGCGGGGGCGGCGCTGGGCGGCTGCGGGAGGGGGGGTCGTGGGGGCTTGACGGCGGGGGCGGTGCGACGCCGAAATAAAATGGTCGGGGCGGAGGGGGGCGGGGTGCAGAAGGCATTGTGCGGCTGGGAAGGGGGGAAGGTCGGGAGGCGGGGCGGAGGGGAGCGGTGCGACGCCGAAATAAAGTGATCGTGGCGGAGGGGGGGCGGGGTGCAGATGGCACTGGGCGGATGGGAAGGGGGGGAGGGTCGGGGTGGCAGGACGTTGGGGGCGGTGCGACGCCGAAATACAGTGGTCGGGGCGGAGGCGGGTGGGGTGCACTGGGCTAGTGGGGAGGCGGGAAGGGTCGTGGGAGCGGGGCGGCGGGGGCGTTGCGACGCCGGGAAAAATTATTGGGGCGGAGGAGGGCGGGGTGCAATGGGCGTGCGGGGAGGGGAGAAAGGTCGCAAGGGCGGGGCAGTGGGGTCGGCGCGACACCGGAATGAAGTGGTCGGGGCGGGGGGGGGCGGGGTCAGGGCGGAGGGGCGGGGTGGAAACAGTGCTGGACGGGGGGCGGTGCGACGCCGAAATAAAGTGGTCGGGCCGGAGGGGGTCACGCTGGTGGTGGTGGCGGTTGGTGTGGGTGGGTGGGTGGAGGGGCGGGAGGGCGGGGCGGTGGGGGCGGTGCGACGCCGAAATAAAGTGGTCGGAGCTCTAGACAGTTGGACTCGATGTTTGGGTGTCTCTGGGCCGACTTGCAGGCCGCTTGGGGTCCTCTTGGCCCGTCTTGGGGCCCGAAGAATTCATGCGCCCGCACTTGGCAAAGCCCAGAGGGCACGCGACAAGCCCCAAAAGACGTCGTACATGATGTCCTGGGCCTCGAACTGATTTCTCAGAGCTGATGCTTGAGACGCAGAGGATTTGCCAAAAGGACCTGGGGACACGCCCAGTCCGTGCCCAGCGGCACGGTGGTGGATAGTAGTAGTAGTAGAGTAAGGTAGAGTAGAGTCGAGTAGAATAGGGTGGGATACGGCAGGGTAGAATAGTGTAGAATAAGTAGTGACATGTAGATCTCATGCGAGTAAAGTCGAGTGGAGAAGACTAGATGAGAAGAGTAGAGCAACATTAGCGTATAGTAGAGCAGAGCTGAGTAGAGGAGAGGAGAAGAGAGTTATAGAGTAGAGTAGACGAGAGTAGAGCAGGAGGCATAAGAGTAGAGTTGAGTATGTAGGAGCAGAGCAGAGTAGGGTAGAGTGCATCAGAGTAGAGTAGAGTAGAGTAGAGTAGAACAGGGAATAGGTGGGTACAGTAGGGCCGTGGTGGGAGACTGTTGGAGCTGGATCGAGCCCGAGTAGCATGCTGTCAGAGCTGGCGCCTAGCGCGGGCGCTGGCGGCAGGTGCGCCACCGCCGTCGTCGCCGTCGTCGGCGTCGCCGTCGTCATCGTCGTCGTCGTCGTCGTCGCCGGGGGGCGGGCTTTGAACCTCCCGAATCTAATTTTCCGGGGGGGAGGGGGGGATTCTGGACCCTCCCGAAGAGTTCTCCCGGGGGGGGGGGGTCCAGACCCCCCCGGCTTTTTTTCGAGGGGGAGGGGTGCCCTTGGTGTCTGACCCTTTGATAGATTCGTCTCACGCCAGCGACGGTGGATTTTCCCCCTCTAAGATATATCGATCACACACCACACGGCGTAAGCATGACAAGTCCTCGGAGGTCCGCGCGGACGTGCAATAATTATGTGCGTGTTTTTTGATGTTCTTCCCAGACACCTATTCAAGATGGAGCGTGTTTTTTTTTCAGACGCTGGCAAATTTACTCGCATGGGCGGGGGGGGGGGGGCGGGGCTGAACCTGAAGCAAGCCGCGAGCAACTTGACGTGCGGAAGCCACGCAAGCGGAAAGGCATGCGCGCGCCCGTCTTCGATCGAAACGGGGCGAGGGGGGAGGGCTGCGGGCGAACGCCGTGCAAGCAAACTTGCCCGAGTCTAAGGAAAGACGGGCCCACGACCGCCGAAGCCGCTCTTCTGGCTCAGGCCGCTCCGGCTCCGGGGAGATCCTCGATCTGGGGGCGGGCGCCGCTGGCCGTGCGCGGCGGCCGCGGCTCCCCCCCGCCAGGCAGGGATGGAGGCCGCCACCCGGAACTACTCGGAGGACGAGACCCGCCGGAGGGCGTTCTCCGTGGCGTGCGGCATCTTTGAAGGAGCGAATCCCGGCGCGGGCACAGGCCGTCGGAGGTTCCGCGGGGGGCCTTCTCGGGCCGGCGCCGGGGGGGCGCCCGTCGGCGGCGGGCGCTCCGTGGGCAGGCGAGGGGCAGCAGGCCTCCTCGGAGGGCGGCGGGGCCTCCGAGAAGCCCTCGCGGCTTCCGAGAAGGCCCGCTGGCCTGCTCCCTCTCGCGTCGCCCCTGCGCTCGCCGCCGGTCCTGGCGGCGCCTCCTTGAGCCCACCCTGGTGCGCTCGGCGCGCCGCGGGCGGGGTGCAGCGCTCAGCAGGGAATGCCGCGTGGACATCGGACGGTCTACGTTCGGCGGATTTTCTCGTTCTGCGATCTGGTTCACGCTTACCGCGGGGGTGTTGCTCATCCGCGTGTCGGGGCTAGGAAGGCGCGGCTCGCCCCGAGGCTCAGTGAGCTCGAATTTCTGCCGCCTGTTCGCGTTGCCCAGGAAGTCTCTCCTGCCCATCGCCTGCCCAGCCAACGCCCTTGCCGCGAAGCAGGTGGCCAGGGAACTACAGATGAGGCGGTTGTTACGTGCAAAGGCTTGGCTCCAATACGGCAACTTGGCCGTCGCAATCATTCTCGGGTCGGTATTGATCAATTTGCGCTGCCGCGAGAGTCCGCCGACGTGCTCGGGCAGGCACCTGGGCTTGAGTAGTTGCACGAAGCCGTCGAGCGGGGGAAGCGGGAGCGGCCAGGGAAAGTTGCTACCCAAGCGGATGACTTGGGCATCACTTTCTTCTAGGAAGTCAAGCCGAAACATCTACCATGTCAAGCAAGAGGCCATGCCAGGCTCGGGCGACCGATACATTGCTTGACAAGAGGTGGCATGAACAAATCAAGCAAATGCCACACAAACACGTACACACAACACACAGACGCAAAGACACACACACAAACACAATCACGAACATAACCACACACACACAACCACAACCACACATATAAGCACAATCACAAGCACAAGCACGAACACAAACACAAGCACAACAAACACAAGCACAACCACAAGCACAACCACAGACACACGCACAAACACAACCACAAACACATTCACAAACACAAACACAAGCACAGACACAAACACTACCACAACAGCAAACACAAACACCATCACACACAAACACAAACACAAACACAAACCATCACACACAAACACGTATACAACACAACGCGCCACACCACAGCACAGCACAGCACAACACAACAGAGCACAACACAGCACAACACAATACAACACAATCCAACACGACATGCCACAAAACAGCACACAGCACCACAACACAACGCAACACAGCACATCACAAACACACACACACACACGCACACGCACACGCACACGCACACGCACACGCACACACACACACACACACATCCGTCGCCATTTTGGCTGCAGGCCATGGCACCCTCCCGAAGGGTGCACGTCCCGACAGGGCGCTCCAATTATCTGGGGAGGTGCCAGGCTGAACCAAGCCCATCAGCAAAGTCTATCGTTTCAGTGGCCTGCCTGGCCGTCATCTTGCTTCTCGCGGGCGCAGCTTCAGAGCCTGTGGTAATGAGAGGAGCCATGGTGCCGCAGCCGTCCAGCCCAGCTGGAGCAGCAAGTGGGGCAGGCAGCCGCGCAGCCAATCGTCATACATGGGTCTGCAAGTTTTGCTGAGGTAGAGACCACAAACAGTATGCCAATGTTGCTGACAAACTGGCTTGCGACAGCTTGGGGCTCCACAAGAGTGAACTGTATGAGGGACCAGTCATGCCGAAGCAGCCGGTAACAAGCCTGTCAGGCATCAGCAACCCATTGCCCTGGCGAAGCAGCTCCTCGCAATGGAGAAGCGGGTGGCCAGTTTCACCAATGAGCTCAGGCAAGCCACGGCGCAGCCGTCGGCGAATGATGTGGGTGCTCTGGCGGCCGCAGTGGTCTCGGGCGCGAAGAAGTGGGTGGCCGAACCCGACGGTCTCATCAAAGGCCTCGCCGCCGTCTGCTCCGCCACGGTTGAGATCGAGAAGGTTCTTCAAGTGTGCAAGGCCGAGCGCGAAACCCTCCGTGACACGATCTTCGAGGCCAAACCCGACGGTGTCAATCTCAAGAGGACCGAGCAGCGCACCAGCAAGCTGGAGTTTCAACTACAGCTTCGGCAGTCCACCCAGGACACGCAGCGCCGGAATATTGCTGAGCTGCAGCAGGACTTGAGTAAGGGAACAAGCATATCCACGCGTCGCGTGTCACCCTGATCGAGCTTCAGGCCGAGCGCGTCAAGTTTTTTGTGCCGCCACCGCGAAGTCGGCACCACCAGCTGAGCCTCCTGATGCTGGGGATGCTGGAGACGTTGCTGATGGCTGCTGGGGCATTTCGAAGACAGCACAGGTCCTTGAACAGATGGAGGTCGCCACTGGCTGACAGCAAACATTTCCCTGGCGTGGCGCTGGAGCTGCAGGCTGGAGACGCCGAGGTCCAGCACACCAAGCGGCCCCAAGCCGAGCAGGACCAGTTGGGCAACAGGCTGCAGCAGAGGCTGAGGCCCACAAGGCTCGCGGCGACCGCATGGTCGACGACGGCGAGTGCATCGCCGCTGCGACCGCCGAGGAGGCCCGCGTCTACTTTAGGCAGTGTGGCTTGGAGGCGATGGCAGGTCGAACTGATGACGACGCTGAACTTCGCGCTGATGCTGAGCGAACGCACGGCGCGCCCGAGTGGCGGGGGGCCAAGCGACTCAAGACACAGTGATCCCGTTGACGTCATGATGACGCCGTTTCCTGATTCAAAGCCAGCCGAGGGCCAACTCAGCGCATCTGCTCTGGAGTTCGTTCCGCGCCCCTCTTATCGTGCAATTGGCACCGCTGTTGTTTCTCAGGGCTTGGGGCGCCCCAGTGGGCAGGTCTGCTCGTCTGCCGGGAACCAGCTTTCGACTTCGTCGTTGCTTGGGGCCTACTTGGAGTCAAAAGTGGCAGGTCTCTTGAGGGGGGCTGGATTGGCGGCGAGGCCCCCGTGCGCCCGGGCGAAAGGGCCTGCAACTTGCGAGACCCGCAGCGACGGGGTGGCCCATGCCATCGCGCGCGCATTTGCTTTTGGCGGCCTGGCGCTGCGACGCTCGCCCCGTCGCCCCCCCAGTCAGCCCGGGCGCGGCCTGCGGGGGCGGGGTGGCCGATTCCCTCGCGCGCGCATATTTGCTGTTGGCGGCCCGGCGAGGCGCTGCGGCGCTCGCCACGCCGCCCTTCTTACACGCCCGACTGGCGAGGCCCGTGGCAGCGGGGTGGTCGACGCCCTTCCCATGCAGTTCTTCTCGGCGGCCTGAAGAGGGAGCACGGCGCTCGCCTCGTTGTCGGCCTGAGCGACGCCCGCAGCGGCGGGGTGGCCAGTGCCCTCGCGCGCGACGTCCCTCCTGGCGGCCTGGCGAGGCGCCGCGACGTTCGCCCCGCCGCCCTGCCTGCAAGCCAGACTGGCAAGGCCCGCGGCGGCGGGGCGGTCGACGCCCGTGCCCGCGACGGTCCTTCTGGCGGCCTGGGGAGAGACAGCGACGCTTGCAGCGTTGGCCCCCCCTGCAAGCCCGATCGCAGGAGGCGGAGACTCTGGCTCGGCGCGCGGCGGGTGGCGAGTCGCCGACCTCTGCGGCGAGGTGGGCGCGTTCGACGAGCTCGACGCGCAGTCGCAGGACCGCGAGGAGATGGCGCTGAAGCATGGCGGCCTCAGCGGACCTGGTCGGGATCCCTCGACGCTGGGCGGTCTGCCCGCGGCCAGGGCTGGGCGCGCCGCGACGGGCGACGAGGTGAAAAGCTGGGCCCCAACGCAGAGCGGGCCCAGCGGGGTTGCCGGGGGCCGCGCGAGGTGCGGGGCAGTCCTGGCGGATCGACCTGAGGCCCCTGAGGCGGCAGAGGACCGCGCCGGCTTGCAGGTGATCGCCGCCCGCGCGAACGCGCGCGGTTCGCTCGCCAGGTACTTGGCCACCTGCGCGGCCGACGCCGACGCCGCGCAGGAGGTCCGCGCTCTTGGGCCCGCGCTGCCAGAGGTCCAGGGCGACGCGCCGGGGGTCGGCTGGGAAGGTCAGCGGGCCGAGGCCGGCCCCATTGATGGGGGGGGGCTCGGAAGGAGGGGCCATTGTGCTCGCCCGCTCCTGCATCCAGGTTGCCGAAGCCCCCTCCCTCGAGTGCGGCGCGGTCTACGTTCGGTGCGTCGGTGCGGCCTGAGTCCATGCAGGACAACGCTGCGGCATAGTTTGTGGTCTCGATATACTCGCACTCAGGAGAAGGCCTCGCAACCTAGCCTTAGTCTGGGAAGCGATCAGGCATGCGCGCAGAGGTGCAGCTGCTGGCTACTCATGGCTGGTGGCAGGTGTTGTCAACGCGTCGCCAGACGTGATATTAGAACACGGTTGGCCCCACATGATTGATGGTCGGCTTGGCGCCCCAGGATGCTCCTACATGCGTACTGGCTGTTCCTGGTGCAACGATCCCTAGTGGTCGGCATGCCGTTCCAGACCTCTGCGCGGAATGACGCGGCGCTGTGGCCACACCAGCCTGTCCTCCTCGCGCCGCCCAGGGATAGGCCCCAGCTGCAGCTCAGGAGGCGAGCGCTCAAGCAGCCGAGGCGTTTTCCAGAAACTGCCAGCCCTGGGCCCGCGAGGTGCCCGATCAAATGGAACCCCTTCTACAGCTGCATCCAGAAGGCGACCTCCCTGGCGGACCTCGCGCTGTCTTTGGCCTCCTGTTGCCTGGCATCGAGGATGAGCTGGCTGGCAATCGCGGCCTGATGGGCATCGGGAAGACGAGCTGCGCGGGGCGCGCTGGGGCACCAGGGATGAGCGATAAGCGTGTGGCGTGGCAGCCTGCTCGAAGGCGGGCGAGACGCTGGCGCGCCGCGACGGCGCGGGCTGCGGCGGCCAGGCGGGCCTGCCACGTCACGTCGGTCCAGGGCGCCGACCACGAGAGGATTGAGGAGATGAGCGCCACACCAGCGGAATAGCAGCTCAGAGAGCACGTGAACGCAGTCCCGGGCATCTTGCGTGAAGTGTTCGAGCACCAACAGAGGTGGGTATCTGCGACAGCAACGCCTCCTTCGGCCGCTTGATGTCGAGGCGCGGCGCTTCTTCCAGGCTGGTGCTTCCAGCTTTGGCGATCCCGACTTCCGGCAGCAGGCGGGGCGGATCATGGGCGAAAGCGGCGTTCTGACGACCTGACGACCACGGCGGAGGCCCAGCACACCATGGTTTGGCGGGATTGGGTCAAGCGCAGCTTCGACGGCGGAGCGGGGCGCGCACATCGCTTCGCCGAGGAGCGGAGCCGCGTCGCGGCGCCGCCCGCGCACGAGTCCGGACAACCGCGCGAGCTTGCAGCGCGAGAGCTAGGGCAGTGGAAGGCGATCTGGCAGCCCCATGGGCTAAGTGGGCGAGATCTACCGCCAGACGCGCATGCGTGGCCGCAGTTGGACCCAATCACGGTCGACGAGCTTCGCAAGATGCGGATGGCCTTCCTCGCATGTGGCCGATGTTCCAGTCTCGACTGGCCGACAGACAGGCTGGTGACTTTGCTAGTGCGCCCCCCCATGCCTGATGGAGGCGCCAGGCTCAGCGGGCTCCTCAATTCGGTCATGCGAATATGGAGCAGAGCACGAAGGCCCATCCCGGCAGCATGGACAGCGGCGAGCCGCAGCTCACACTCTTCGGGCTCTGGGCCAGGCCGAAGCTAGTCAGCGTCAGCTTTCTTGCTGGGCCCCGGAAGGGGATTGCTGTGGCGCTTGGCTTAAAGGCGGTGACGTTCATGATGATTGGAAGTGATTCGATCTGGTATCGCCGCATGTCCTGCTAAGAGAAGCTATGACAGCTGGCTTTTCCCCAATATTGATTGGGTACTCATCCAGTGCTGTAGTCAGCCACGTACCGCGCGTGCGCGTGGGGTAAGTCCTCGCTGCTCACCTCCTTCATCGCTGGTTGCTCGCACGCCATGACGGCCCTAGAGGTCCTCGTGCGTCGATCGATGCGGCGCTTATCGGACATGTCTACCTGTGGCCCCACGGCAGCTAGTGGACGATCGTCCCCTGCGTTGGACAGGAGCGCCCAGTGCGCGCGTTCGCGAGGTCGCCGAGGCCGCGGACGAGGCAGCGGCGGCGTTCGGCGACTTCAACCGTAGTGGCGAGAGTGGCTCTGCGACGGCCCACACAGCAGAAAAAGGCGCATGCGTAACCTTGGTCAGGAGCTATCGGCAGCACGACGTCGTCGAGACCAAGAGGAGGCAATGATGGTCATTCTCATGAAGCGCGCCAGGAAGCGACACGTCCTCAAGAAAGCGATGGGCAGCCGACGGATGGCCAGGATTCATAGCGCAGGGTCGACACCTGCAGTTTTGCACGGCGCCGCCGTGGCTGGTGTTCTGGAGAATGCGCTGAAGCCAGTCAGAGCACAGGCGGGCGTCATAGCTGGGGTCAAACCTGAAGCCTCGCAAATTCGATTCCGCCATCAAAAGGCCACGACCGAACTGTTGTTCCTCTGCTCCCCGTGGCTGTGGGAGGCGCGGGGCTCTCTTCTTGAACTGCAAGTGGCTTTGCAGCTCATGCGGGCCATGATTGCCAAGTCGGAGAGCTGGTCGAAGGTGCGTGGCCATCCTGCTGCAGCCCGGGCCCCACTCAGGCGCATTGGCTGGGCATCGCGGTCCGCGCGCGAGATCGCCGCGAACTCCGACGCCTTCTTCTCGCCGCCGGAAGTTGCGCCGAGGGATGTCCGTGATTGCTGGAGCAGGGCATTCACCGTTGGCAGCTGGATGGAATTCAAGATCACTTTCTCGAGCTTCAAGATGAACGCATCTGGCTGGGTGGTTTGCGAGCCTGTGTCGCAGGCTCGAAGGCGGCGCGTCGGTCCGAGGACCTCGGGGCCATGCAGCGCCCGCGGACAGGCGCGGCGTGGGCGAGAGAGGGAGAGAGAGAGAGAGAGAGAGAGAGTGAGAAAGAGAAGGAAAGTGGCTTTTTGGATCTGTAGCCAGACCAGGTTGCTCGGCGCGCGGCGCGCCTCGTGCAGCGCCAGGGCATAAGTGGCATGACTGGTCCGCCGCTGCTCGAGCTTGACAGCGCCAGCCACGATCTTGAGCTGCAGGAGTCCCCTGAGCGCAAGCGCCTGCTCAAGATGCGTGAGAAGCTGGGCGAGGTTGCCATGGGCACCCTTGGCCCTCCTGAGTTCGATAGTGTTGCTAACGCTTGCGCGTTGCCGCTGCTTTCGCCTAGTTCCGAGAGGCTCGACGGAAATCCTGAGCAATGGTCTGAGCGGGGAGGCCCCAGCATCCCGTGGGCGGGCGCTGTTTGCACGGATGGGGCTGGCCAGGGGGTGGACTTTTCCGAGGTGACTAGACGTGCTCGGGCGATCGTGCATTTGGACACTCTTGGCCGCCCTTCCAAATCCCGCTTCGGGAGCCTGCCAGGGACTCGGTCGGTGCCGCGAGCGGCAAGGTACGACGCACTGCAAGCGAATGAAGTGTCCTCTCAAGTTTAGCGTGCTGCGTCTGATCACTTGTCGCTTGTGCAGGAAGGGCAGCGCTCGTGCGAACGAGAGGCCATGGCCGCTGCTTGCCAGGCCCAGATTTGGAGAGCGACCCGAGGTGAGGGCGACCGGCAGGCCAGACCACCTCCCAGTTTCGCCTGGACTCCGTCGCGTAAGTCCCTCGATGCCGCCCTCGATAGAGTGGTGGGCATGCGTGGTTCGGGAACGCCTGGGCGGATTTTTTTGCCACAGTTGCATTGCACGTTGTTTGTCGCCGCACGAATTCTCGCAAGGGTCTTGAAGTGCGCCTCGCCGACGCCATCGCCAATGCTGAGTTTGTATATTGGGATAGCGCGAGTATCTTGGGATCGGAACTCCGGGGCCCTTCCCAAACAGAGGATAGGGCTTCGAGACCCCCGCCTGGCCCCCCGCGCGCTGCCATCAACCCTCACCAGCTCGTCCCAAGCCGTGGGGGCGCGCGCTGTATGCGTTGCAACCTTTCGGCTTTCACGACGGAAACTCGCCGTGCCATCGAGCGCTGTCCACGCTGGCCGCCTGATCTCAAGCAGGCCAGGGCAGCCGCCTTTTTCGCGGCCTGGGGGCATGGCGGCCCTGCCCCCCCTCCCCTGCTGTTTCCATTGCTCTCGCTGCAGCTGCCGCCGGCGACAGCTGCGCGAAGTGTGATGATGTCCGTGAGTCGCGCTCGGCTGGAAGGGCTCAAGGTGGCTGGGGCCGCTCCCTGAGGCGAGGCCCCTCCCCCGCCGCGGAGAAGTGAGGTCGCTCGTCGGGGCTGCCCTTGAGCGAGAGTGTGAGTCGCGAGCGGAGCGCCGCGCTCGTTGCTCGCCTCCTCCAGGGCGCTCGATCCCTGCCTACCCCCGCCCCGCCGGAAACATTTTTGAACGAGGGCGCAGGAGGGGGAGCGGACGGAGAGAGGAGGTGGGAGCGGAACGCGCGCCGTGCTCGGCGGCCCCCGCCACTGCTACCCCGCCAGTGGCGGCGGCCGCTGCGGCAGCCGAAGCCCTGCTGGAGCGGGGCCAGGACTCCCGCGCGCCCGCCGCGGCTGCCGCTATCGTTGGGGATAGGTGTGGAGTGAGCTGCGCGTGTGGGCGCGAGGGGGGGGGGAGGTCGCGCGATGCATGCTGACTCTGAGAGTGTCACTCTCGCACTCGTGCGCTCGTGCACGAGCTCATCCAGGGACCTCCGTAATTACGGCGTGTGTCGGGAGTGCGGCGGGTGTGCCCGCAAGCAGATCCGTCTCTTGAACGAGCCCTGCGGTGGCGCGCTGCCGCCCCCTTCGCAGCGCGCATGCCCTGCCGAGAGAGCGAGAGCCCAGAGGCGAGGCAACCTCGTCGCCGGGCTCCACCCTTCCACGGGCAAGCCCCTGGGGTAGTGTCGGGGCCGCTGCGCGGGGGGGGGGGCTCTGGAGTTGCCCGCTGTGCTCGTGCAGGCGTTGCCTGAATTTTGCTGGTGGTCTGGGTGCAGCCTTCTGTGCTCTCTAGCGTCCTATAGCCTCGAGAGCCCCAGGCCTCAGTGGCCTCGCCGGGCAGGGCTGTGTTCGTTTCACCTTTGATTTGGACGTAGTCCATTCGATTCGGTATGTGACACACACACACATGCACACGCACACGCACATGCACTCGCACACGCACGCGCACGCGCACACGCACACGCACACGCACGCACACGCGTACGCACACACGCACACACGCACACACGCACACACGCACACGCACACAGGCGCGCTCACACTCACGCTCGCACCTACACTCACACAACACACGTACAGACATATACACAGAGACACACACACATACACGTATACACAGTCACGCACACACGCAGACACGCACACACACCACACATTACACACATCACGCAACACGTACAACACAGCACACAACATACAACACAACACACCACACATCAACCGCTGCAAGCGCGGTGGCGGAGTAGGACCACGCAGCCAGGCCCACGCAAGAACTCCGCTGTGCAGGACGTCAACTTACTGGTGGTGTCATTCGTTACTCTCTTCGTGTGGGCGTTTCCTCAGAGTTTGACCTTGAGAACATTGGATGTTTGGTCTTCTCTTGTGATGTTCTGCATCGCGCTGGCTTCTTCTCCATTGGCAATGGGAGGATCCCATGTCAACCTTCTGACATGGAGTGCTACGATGCTGGTGTGCCTGTTCAACATGAACATCCGGCTGAACCTCGTATGGGTATGTGGCGTTACCATGTCGAGTTGCAGCGCTATCATGTTCGGAGTGGAGGACCCTCTTCGAACTGTTGCTTGTGTGCCATCGCGCATGGACATGATTTCTGGGGAACTCACAGTAGGAATCGTCTTTGCCATGTTCATCTTTCTCTTCCATAGATCGCATTCCCTCGGTGTGTGGTACGAGATGGAGGCTCACTTTTCGAGAAACGAGCTCAAGGCAGCGAGGTCGGTGCTGCGCAGCGTCTGCGACGCCGTGGTGGAGCTCGACAGCGACTTCCGCCTGCAGGACGAAGCAACCCATCTCGTGAATCTGCTCTTGTTGAACCCGCACCGCAATCTCCTGGGTCAGGACCTGAGGTCGTTCCTGGCGACCGATGAGGACCGCCGCAAGTTTTCCCAGCAGATGAGCCGGACCTGGCTGGATAGCGAGGACGCGCTGGATGCTGGGCTCAGTTCGGCATTCCACGTCTCCATGAGAGACAGCTCCAGCATACCCCTCGACGTGGAGGTCATCAGCGTGCGCTTCATGAACCGAGAGCGGGAGGTGGCCTATTTTGTCGGCATCCGCGAGTTCACGGACACGTGCCCGATGGTGAGGGACACCACGCCAAGGGCATGGCCCAGCGACGGCCGCGGTGGCCCGCAGGTCCTTCCTCTGGAAGATTTCGGGCCCCTGGACATCCCCGCGGAAGATCTCAGCCACTCCAGCGAGGAACCTTCGAGCGTGAACTCAGAGGCCTTCTCGTGGGACAGGGAGGCTCCCTTCGAGGCGGCACCCGCAGCGTGGATCGACGTCCTGAGCCCGACGTTTTCCGTGCGGCACTGCACCCCCGGTTTCTCTCAGTGCGTGGACACCGGGCGCGCGGGCGAGCTCCTGCCTGCCGTACGGCGGTCCCATCAGTCCGACTTCGTGGGCTGGATGCAGGAGGCGTACTGCTCCCTCGTGAGCGAAGGCTCCAGCGGTGCCCCGGTGCAGTACGACAGGCCACGAGCTCAACGGGCGAAAGCCCATCCCCCACCCCCAGTCCCGACTCCCATCCCCAAGCCGGCGATCCGGGGTCCAAGAAGAAACGTTATAAAGATAAATTCTTCACGCTTCGCGTATCCCCACCAGCCCCCTCAGGACGCCAAAATGGGGCCAAAACCGTAGTAAAATCAATGATTCTGGCTTCAAAGAAGAGCAGAGGGGCCAAACTCGCCCCCCCCCCGTCGGGGCCAGAATCCTCGTGAGGGTCGTCGTTTTTTGGCCCTCCCAGGGGTCCAAGAAGAAACGTTATAAAGATAAACTTCTGGCGCTCCGCGCGGATTTCTCGGGTCCGCGCTGGGGCCCCTTTTGCGCGCTCCGCGCGCCAGGGAGAAGGGTCCGGCGCGGAGCCGAGAAACCTGCGCGGAGCGTCAGAAGTTTATGTGTTTATGTAGTCTTTTCTTCCTTCCACGAGAGAGGCCGTGGGTGCGGATATTCGTCATGCAAGCAGTGGCGAAGCGTCCTGGCTCGCCTCTATAGGCCGTCCAAAGGATGTCATGAGAAGCTCTTGTGGTCTGTACGGAGCGTTCTTAGAGCAGTTCTGGCTGGGGCTGTCTTGTTTGGGCACATCGGGATGATGTTCTATGAACATGGCTTTCTCTTAGAACATCTCTGGGTTCCAAGAACATTTCGTGGTGGGCCTTTAAGAATGCTGGGACGGTCGGTCCCTGCTCAACCGGCGGCGCCCCCGGGGTGGAAGCGAGAAGGGGCAGGCCTCCTCAGAGTCCAGGTTTCCTGGCTGGGGTCGGAGCGTAGACGTGGTCGTGGGATCGCGCCGCATCGCCGATGCATCGCCGATGCAGCTCGATGTGAAACCCGGTTTGCTTCACGCCGACGTCGCCGATGCACCGCCGACGTCGACGATGCATCGGCGAGGCATCGCCGATGTACGGGCATAAGAAGGGGCGGGCCTTCGACGGCAGAAGCACAGAAGCGTCAAGGGGAGAGGCGGGCCTTCCGGCGCCAAGGAGAGGCGGGCCTTGACGGTCCCGAGGCCCGGTGAGGGCCCCCCCGAGGCCGAAATCGGAGAGCAGCCCCTGTAGTGTTTTTTTTTCTCACTGCTCGAGGGGGTCCGGGCCCTGAGGAGGCCTCCTCCTGCTCGTCCCCCCCCCCTCGCCCGCCGCCGATCGCCCGGTGCGCAGGTGGCTGCACTTCCGCCCCCCCGCGCCGCAGCGGGGCGCCGCGGGCCAGGCGCGCTCGGCGCGGCCGAGGCGCGTCCTCTCGGCCCGCCTGCGGCTCGACCTGGCGCCGCCGCCCAGCCCGCACCACCGGGGCCGCGGGGTGGTGCGGATTCTCCTCGAGGAGCCCGGGCCCGTCCCGGTCCGATCGGCCCGCTCTCGGCCACGCGCAGGGGGGGCCAAGGTCGGGGGCGGCAAAGAGGGGGGTGATGACTATAGGGGTGGGTGGGTATCATGGCGTGGGCCACGACATTTCCCCAGATCTCATGGCGCCTCTTCTTGCTTCAGTACGTCCCTGGCCCCCCCACCGCTGGGCCGCGCACATGCCGCCGGCCATGATTTGCACCCCCCCTCTTGGACACCCCCCTCTTGGCCGCTCCCGATAGGGGGGGAGGGGGGCAGGCTCCTCAGAGCTCCTTGCTCCACGGAAGCCTTCCCCCCTCCACGCGCCCCCGTTTGGGCGCGCGGCCGACGATTCCACAGCGTTTCCGGCTGGCGCGGTTCGGTTCGGCTGCGACGTGCTGGCGGTCCGCTGTGCGGGCCGGTGCCTGCATGAGCGCCATGCTGTGCACCCTGGCGCGGCCGGTCTGGTCCGATGCCGACTCTGCGGCGGTGCGGCCCGATTCGAGACAAGGTCCGATCGGATCCGATGTCACGGTGCCGAGTCCAGGCGAGAAGTGCCCAGGCTGCGAAGCGAGGGCGATAGGCCTGTGCGCAGGGGAGCCAGGAGCTGCGAGGGCGGTGCGCCTCAAGATTTCCAGCCTTTCCCCAGGATCTCATCTGGTGCCGCCCGTGCTGCAAGAATGAGGGCCGCTGGATAATTGTTGGACAGCGTGGAGCGAATCCAGAACTCACGCAGTGGGCCCCAGAAGCGGCTGGGCATCTTTGTGGCCGTCTTCGAGCAGCTTGTTCTGCGACACGAAAACGGTAAAACATGATTGACCCACGAACCCGGAAAGAGATTTAAAATTGCGAGGCCTGGGAACGTTCCAAGCACCTCAGTTGGGCGATGGGCAGTGGCAGTGCTGAAGATACCAATGGAGATGCTACTGTGCCATGTAGCTGTGTTGTACTTCTCTGCGCTGTGCCGCGCCGCACAGTGACGTGCCAGGGGACGCGCCACGGAAAGTGCCAGTCGACGTGCCAGGGGACGCGCCGCGCGATGTGCCAGGGGGACGCCCTTCGGAGCGCGCCACGGAACGTGCCAAGGGCACGCGCCACAGAACGTGCCAGGGGATGTGTTTGGAACGTGCCAGGGGACGCGTCGCGCGACGTGCCCATGGAGGCGCCAGGGAAATAACCGGGGATCGTGCCCGCGAGGGTCACGATCCCTGGTGAATATTACATTGGGCGATGGGCGACGAGTTGTGGCAATGCTGAAGATGCATGCTGATACCATGCCAGGGACTGTGCTGTGCTGCTCTGCACTGAGCCGTACTGCACAGTGCCGTGCCAGGGGACGCGCCACGGAACGTGCCAGCGGACCTGCCAGGGGGTGTGTTCGGAACGTGCCAGGGGACGCGTCGCGCGGCGTGCCCAGGGAGGCGCCAGGGAAGGAGCCAGGGAGCGTGCCCGATGGTCACGATCCCTGGGAAATTACATTGGGCGTTGGGCGATGGGCAGTGGCAATGCTGAAGTTGCATAACGATACCATGCCAGGGGCTGTGCTGTGCTGCTCTGCGCTGTCCCGTACCGCACAGTGACTTGCCAGGGGACGCGCCTCGGAACGTTCCAATAGACGGGCCAGGGGACGCGCCGTGCTGAAATGAGATGTCTCATGCCGCGATGACTTTCTTTGTGCTCTGTAGTATTGTGGACCGACTGGCCCTTGGAATCCGAACCTTTACCGAACTCATCTGGATCTGAAGCTCGAGCTGCCTGAGCGAATAGCTGGCCCAGAGCTTGTTGCAATCGAGACGCGGTGGACACTCAATCAGCTCGAGCTCAAGGTCCGATTCAGTTCCGAAGCGGGGCGAGGCAACACAGGGGCGCAGGGCATGAACGCGCCATAAGAAGTGGCAGGCGCACATTTGGGGATGCGCCAGGAAACGCGGCAAGGTACGCGCCACGGAACGGGCAGGGAAAGCGCCAGGGGACCATGTTCACCCTTGTCCTGCTCTGAGGCGTTAAGAACCCATGCCTTTTCACGCTTGACCCCTCTCTGAGGCGCTAGGGGCCCACGTGTTGTCCCGCTTGTCCCGCTCTGGCGCGTTCGGAACCCACGCGTTTTCACATTTGTTCCGCTCAGTTCCGCTCGGGGGCGTTCGGAACCCACTTACGTGTTGTCACGCTTGCCCCGATGTGGGGCGTTAGGAGCTCATGCTTTTTCACGTTTGTCCCGCTCTGGGGCGTTAAGAACCCATGTGGTTTCGCGCTTGCCCCGCTCTGGGGCGTTAGGAACCCAAATGTGTTTGTGTTTGCCCCGCCCTGGGGCGTTAGGAACCCATGTCTTTTCACGTTTGTCCCGCCCGTTGGAGTTAGGAGCCCACGTGTTGTCACGTTGGTCCTGATCTGGGGTGTTGGGAACCAACGTATTGTCACACTTGTCCCACTCTGGGGCGTTAGGAGCCTACGCGTTGGCACGTTTGTTTCGCCCTGGGACGTTGAGGACCCAAGTGCTTTCTTGGTAGGAGGAGGCGGAGGAGGAGGAGGAAGAGGAGGAGGAGGGAGGAGGAGAGGGAGGAGGATGAGGAGGTGGAGGAGGAAGAGGATAGGAGGAGAGGAAGAGGAGGAGGGGGGATGATGATGATGATGAGGAGGAGGAGGAGGAGGATGGGGGGGGGAAGAAGGAGGAGGATGAGGAGGCGGATGAGGAGAGATGAGGAGAAGGAGGCGGCTGAGGGAGGAGAAGGAGGAGGATAATGGTGATGCTGGGGAGGAGGAGGAGGGAGGAGGAGGAGGAGGAGGAGGAGGAGGATGAGGAGGAGGATGGGGGCGGAGGAGGAAGACGAGGAGGATGAGGACCATGAAGAGGCGGAGGAGGAGGAGGAGGAGTAGGAGGAGGAGGAGGAGGAATACGAATACTACTCATTCAGTAATACAAATATGAATATTCAGCCTAAGAATGCTACGACTTGTAATACGAAGGCTAATAATAACATTACGACTGATCTTATTACCACAGCGAATAGTAATCCATACATTGGAGGAACACGCAGACAAACGCGACTAACACTAATTATACTGATGCTACTGAGGGGCGGCGGAGGAAGATGCGGACGAGGACGACACGGGGGCGGGGAGGCGGGTGATGATGTTGTTGACATGGTGATGATGATGTTGCTGCTGATGCTGAGGATGATGCTGCTAATGCTGATGATGATGCTGCCGATGATGATGATGATGATGATGATGATGATGATGATGATGATGATGATGATGATGATGATGATTATGCTTGTGATACTGATGAGGATGATGTCGATGAGGATGGTGGTGCTGATTGTGATGATGCTGCTGACGATGATGATGATGCTGCTGATGATGATGCCGACGCTGATGCCGATGATGCTGCTGCTGCTGATGATGCTGCTGATGATGATGATGATGATGGTGATGGTGATGATGCTGTTGATGATGATGATGGTGATGACGATGATGCTGACGATGATGATGATGATGATGCTGATGATGATGATGCTGATGATGATGGTGAGGCTGCTGATGCTGAAGATGATGATGATGATGATGGTGATGGTGATGATGCTGATGCTGATGATGCTGATGATGGTGATGCTGATGATGATGCTGATGCTGATGATGCTGACGACGATGATGATGCTGATGGTGATGCTGATGATGATGATGATGATGATGATGATGATGATGTTGATGCTGATGATGATGATGATGATGATGCTGATGATGATGATGTTGATGATGCTGATGATGCTGCTGCTGATGATGATGCTGATGATGATGATGATGATGATGATGATGATGCTGCTGATGATGATGATGCTGATGAGGCGGAGGAGGATGCGGACGCAGAAGAGGCGGACAGGGTTCATGATGAGGAGGAGGACGAGAACGAGGAGGAGGAGGAGGCGGAGGAGGAGGCGGAGGAGGAGGAGGTTGCGGAGGAGGCGGAGGAGACGGAGGAGGCGTAGGAGGGAGGAGGGAGGAGGAATGAGGGAGGCGGGATGAGGGATGAGGAATGCGGGATGCGAGAGAATGGAGAAGGAGGGGGAGGAGGAGGAGGAGGCGGCGGAGGAGGAAGAGGATGAGGCGGAGACGGAGGAGGAGGGGCGAAGGAGGAGGAGGAGGAGGAGGAGGAGGAGGAGAGGAGGAGGAGGAGAAGGAGGATCAGGAGGAGGAGGAGGAGGAGGAGGCGGAGGAGGAGGAGGGAGGAGGAGGAGGAGGAGGAGGAGGAGGAGGAGGAGGGAGGAGGAGGGAGGAGGAGGAGGAGGAGAGGACGGGAGGAGGAGGAGGAGGAGGAGGGAGGAGGAGGAGGAGGAGGAGGAGGAGGATGAGGAGGAGGAGGAGGAGAGGAGGAGGAGGAGGAGGAGGAGGAGGAGGAGGAGGAGGAGGAGGAGGAGGAGGAGGAGGGAGGAGGAGGAGGAGGAGGAGGAGAGGAGGGAGGAGGAGGAGGAGGAGGGAGGAGGAGGGGAGGGGGAGGAGGAGGAGGAGGAGGAGGAGGAGGAGGAGGGGGGGGAGGAGGAATGAGGGAGGAGGCGGAGGATGATGATGAGGAGGCGGAGGATGCGCAGGAGGAGGAGGCGGAGGAGGAAGAATAGGAGGATGGAGGAGGAGGAGGAGGAGGAAACATGATAGAGGAGGGAGGACTTGATGGAGGAGGAGGAGGAGGAGGAGGAGGCGTGGGAAGGAGGAGGAGGAGGAGGAAGAGGAGAGGAGGAGGAGTAGAGGAGGGTGAGAGGAGAGTAGGAGGAGGGGAGGAAGCGGAGGAGGAGGAGGAGGACGAGGCGGAAAGGGAGGAGGTGGAGGAGGAGGAGGAGGAGGAGGAGGAGAAGGAGGAGGAGGACGAGGCGGGGGAGGAGGAGGAGGATGAGGAGGATGAGGAGGAGGAGGAGGAGGAAGAGGAGGAGGAGGAGGAGGAGGAGGGAGAGAGGGAGGGGGAGGAGGAATGGGGGAGGAGGCGGAGGAGAAGGGGAGGGAGGACGGGAGGGGGGAGGGACGGACGGCGGGATGACGACGATGCTGATGCTGCTGCTGCTGATGATGATGATGATGATGCTGATGATGGTGATGATGCTGATGATGATGATGTTGATGCTGATGATGGCGATGATGCTGGTGATGATGGTGATGCTGATGATGATGCTGATGGTGATGCTGATGCTGATGTTGCTGATGCTGATGATGATGATGCTGCTGGTGATGATGATGATGATGCTGATGATGATGATGATGCTGATGGTGATGGTGATGGTGATGGTGATGGTGATGGTGATGATGATGAGGATGCTGATGGTGATGATGATGATGATGATGATGACGATGATGATGATGATGCTGGTGGTGGTGGTGGTGGTGGTGATGACCATGGCGATGCTGATGATTATGTTGATACTGCTGCTCTGTTGATGATGTTGACGATGCTGATGCTGATGATAGTGCTGCTGCTGATGATGATGATGCTGATGGTGATGATGCTGATGATACTGATGATGCTGATGTTGTTGATGATGCTGTTGATGATGACGCTTATGATGATGATGGCGGAGGAGGAGGAGGAATAGGAGGAGGGTGAGGAGGAGGACCAGGAGGATGAGATGGAGGCGGAGGAGGAGGATGAGGAGGAAGGCAATGCGGAGGACGAGGGGGGATGATGATGATGATGATGATGATGATGATGATGATGATGATGATGATGATGAGGATGATGATGATGATGATGATGATGATGATGATGATGCTGATGATGATGATGATGACGATGATGATGATGATGATGCTGATGCTGATGATGATGAGGAGGGGGATGAGGATGAGGATGAGGATGCGGATGCGGATGGGGATGAGGATGAGGATGATGATGAGGATGACGATGATGCTGATGATGGTGATGACGACGACGACGACGATGATGATGATGATGATGATGCTGATGATGGTGAGGATGATGATGATGATGATGATGATGATGATGATGATGATGAGGAGGAGGAGGAGGAGGAGGAGGAGGGTGACAATTACCAGGCTAAGAGGGAGGCTAAGGGTTGGCCGACCCGACCCTAACCCAACATCTCGTGGCACTGGGCCACCTATGTTCTCCACAACGGCCGCGGGTGCACCACACGGCCGCTGAGACGGCAGGGCGCAGCCGACGCTGTGCCCTGATGTGGCGTTTGCACACCTAGCCACAGCGGCACCTCACCTCCGCCGCCCACGATGGCGGGGGGGAGGGGTGGGGCTGAGCAGCGGTCGGGGTGGACTGGCAAACCAAGTCCACCCCCGTTCCCAGAACCCACGGGGGCGTCCTCTGTGCAACTGCCACCGTGGAGGGAGCCAGCAAGCGCTCCGCGGCCGTGCAACAGGGTATCGCCAAACAGCACGCTGCAGTGAAAAGGACGGCTAGCATCGCCTGGCTGACGGAACCCCAAGGCCCGAGTTCCAGGGCTGGCTGCGCGACACCAGCACCGCCAGCCAGGACGACACAAGCCCCACATGGAACCTGGCCTAGGCACAGCTGCAGCACAGAGGGCTATCTGTGTGTGGGGGAGCTGGGCAGCGCTCCACGACAGTGCCAGGGAATCGCCAGAGGTACGCCGTGCCGCAGGGGAAGAGTGCACAGCGCTCCTTCCCCCCGGGGCGGGGTGCCTGACACGCGTGCGGGGCCGCGCACGCACGCACACACGCACATGCACACAGAGTGCCCGAGGCGACGCCAGGACGACGCGGCACTGCCCACCCGTGGTGTAAATAACGCCAGGACGGTGGGCAGGCCGCGTCCCTGGTGTGGGCCTTCCTGGACTCTTGGGCTGAGTTGGGACGGCAGGCTGCCGACAGTGAACATTAGCGAGGGCCCAACAGGCCTCAGAGCTGCAGATGAGCCGCAGCGGGCGCACACGAGCGCGCCTACCCTCTGAGACGGGGTGCCTGACACGCGTGCAACAGCGCGCGCACACACACGCAAGCACACAGAAGGCACGAGGCGACGCCAGGAGGTGGGACGCACACAGCAGAAGAGTGAGAAGTCCGCCGTGAGCACGGCCAACTATGCAGGACTTGATGCCTCCTCCCCTCTGTCCTTGGCTTGCTCTTCGCGAGCCAATCGGGCCAGGGGTATCCCTGGGGTCACAAAAACGATCGGGGATGACTTAGAGCCTTTCGGGGCACAACCCTCCTGGACGCGGGCAAGTTGAGCGGCCGCGCCTTCGTGATTCATTCGGGTGCCGCACACCCCAGTGAGCCCGCTGCCCAACCCCCCCAAGTAGGATCCACACTTATGGCAAACCAAGATGCTCGTGGGATGCTCAAGATGCTCATAATCAATCAGGCTGGCCTTTATTGTCATGCGCGAGATCTGGCAACTGCTTACAATGACCAGGGCAATTTTTAGCCGAAAGGGCTGTCCTCTGGTTCATCACCTTAGTCTGTGCTCGACACAGAATGCAGCGCCAGTATCCTGATATTGGGGCCCACGAGTGAGGCTTCCCGGGCTCCTGGGAACCCCGCTCCGGAAGGGGGGGGAGGGGGAGACGCGACCGACGACGGCGGCGACCGCGACGTCAGGGTAGAGGCAGCACCCGCGGGGGGAGACTGGCTCTTCTCTGGGGCGGCCAGAACTTTCGAGGTATTTGATCAGAAACTTCCGATCATCTGCACAGTTGCCTCTTTCTGCTTCGCTGGGCTGAACGCCCTTGTGCGCAGCAGCTTTAGCCAAACGGTCTGCTGCAATATTGCCTTCCGCCAGTCGGGGGGCTTCGCTGCCTGCGGGTAGGGCTTGCGTGTCCTGGTGGGCTTCGAGCCTCTGCCCCAAAGGCGAGAACCCCCTGCCAGCCAGGACCTTAATTAAACCAGCCCACAGATTGCGACAGGGATACTCGCTACCTTGGTGCAGTAGCAGGACTCCCTTGTAGTCAGAATAAAGCTGGCAGCGACTGCCGCCAGTTGCTCCGCGGCCCCTGAGGTTCGGGAAAACATCTGGCCAACGCGGCCGCTGGACTGGGCAAAAACTTTTCCGTCGCGCATGCAGATTACCGCGAAACCTGCGGCATTGAGCACGTAATGGCCGTAGTTAGTACAACTACCATCCACGAGAACTTCTTTTTCACTGAAGGTCTCTTGAGGGGTGTTGGGCACGCCCAAACTCCCCAAAGCCTAACCCAGTACCTGGCGGAGGCTCTCCTCGGAACTCAGGAACCAGCTGGAACCCAAGGTGGGGGCGCGTGGCCGGGGGCGGGTGCTCTGTGGCTTAGGAGGTCCAAAGCGAGCGCGCTACGAGCAGCAGCAACATCTAATTGAGCGTTCGGGTGGCCGAGCTCCACGGCCGCCTTCGTGGCGAGCTGGCCGTGCCAGTCGTGCTCCATGAGCTTGTGGAGGAAGGCGGGGGAGTGTCCTGGAAGAGGGAACTCAAGGCCTGAGGATGTCGCAAACTTGAACGGTCCCTGGAATTTCCAACCACTACGTTTAAAGGCAAGCGCGGTCGCACTGAGAGGGCCCCTAGAGGATACCCAAGAGCTTGAAAGTCTCGGGAGGATGGCATCCGCCCACAAACGCAGTTGCTGGAAACTGGCCACGGCGAGGTGAGGGCAGGTGGACGCATCCCAAACAAGACGGCGCCACACCATGGCAGGGCCTAAAGCAGCTTTTTCACAGCAGAGGGTCCTCGTGGATGAGCAGCGCCAAACTGCGGCTGCGCGTCGGGCACCTTGGACCCGCTGCAGCAAGAAACTGCGACCTAACCGACTCAAGTTGAGTGCCGCTGATGCCGGCGACCTCGACTCCAAAATTGGCGGCCGCTTCAAGGCCAGTCTCATGCAGTTTGCGAGCCCCCGCCCCCCCCCCCCCCGGCGCGTTTCAACATGCGCGCCCGATTAAGTTGTTGACGCATCCTACCCAGACGCTCGTTGAGCTTCCGAAGCGTTCTCCATCTCCTTCATGGCCGTCCAGCCCCAGTTTCAACCCCAAGGTTGGATCCCGAACGGTCCTTGTTCGGGCCTGCCAAAGGCCCAGAGCAGTCCTGAGCTCGTCTTGGAGTGCTTGATGGGGCGCGAGAACCTGATTCTTCTTGCTGGCAATCTGGCATTGAAGCTCCTGGATGATACAGTCCGCCATGGACCTGGCGGCTACTTTAGGCTGGCTTACGATGAGGCTGAAAAAAACGGCCGTGGCACTGGAGCAGCAGATCATCGATAAACATCGCGAGCCGAATGTGACTGTGGGCTTGTGTCCATATACCAAGAGTGGCTAGCGCGCACATTTGCACGGAGCACGTGGCCCAGCTGCAGCCCGCGGCAATGCCCCTCCAAGGTTTGCCCGCACGGATCTCACAATCTTGCAACGATACAACACTTTCACGAGTATATTGGAATAAGAGAACCCGAAGTAAACAACGCGGGAAGCCTGATTCAACAGCACGATGAGCTGGACACGGGCGATCAACACGCTCGCAGTAGTTAGATATAGCATACAAGTCCTGCGCACTCAACTGTTGCTCTTTAGCGGTGCTGTTGAATAGAGTGGCCAGCCTGATGCGTTAGATAGGGTCTCCGATGGCGAGCTTCCCACTCTTTGGCCGCCGACCTACGCAGACGCGCCCACACTATATATCGCTGGTAACATGCCAGTGGGCCTGAATGAAGGCTGACTGGCTGGTCCGTCGTGCTGTTTCAACTTCACCATAAGAGTTGATACGGTATCTTGGAGCTGTGTCGGCATGTGACCAACCTTCTCAAGTAAACCGATCAATTTGCAAACGATCCCCGCTTGCTCGTTATTCAACATACTGAAATGTCGCGGGTGAAAACCATCCCAGTTAAAAGCTGTAGAATGAGGGAAGCTACGGGCCACTTGCCGCAACCGTTTGGGGGCAATCGGACCAAGAGCAACACGATCATCAGCATCGGGCACAAGTTGGAGTGGTGTGTCCGAGGGAACTTGCCATATTTTAGCCAATCGGTCAGCTTCAGCCTGCAAAATGTTATGGGGCCTACCCGTGCACTGAGACTTGCATTCGCCCTCAGATGGGCGCCAGGCCTCCAGCCTTTTAGACCATCTGTAAGCCCAGCCCACTCCCCCTTTCATATTTGATTGAACCCAGCCCCTCCAAGCCCTCCCATCTGCAGCGCTCTCCGCCGCCTGCTCCTGCTGACGCTGGTAACCTGCTCCAGCAGCTCATCTAGGACGTGGAGCGCCAGCTCCTGGCCCAAAGCGCCGGCCTGAGAACCGACAAGAAGCAAACCTGCAGCATTCGAATATCCTGAAGCCCCTCTTTGAGGGGCACCACGGTGGAGAACAACTCGGGGCCATCCTCCAAGCTGTCAAGGGTGTCCTGGAACTCTTGCAAATGCCAGTCCTGAATGCATCTTCTCAAGTCCTGAACTCGATTACACAGCCATCCCAATGGGCCCGTGTGGGCCACTCATTTGGCCCTACTCCTAGCAGCCTTGGCCTCCGCGGGGGCCATGATAACCCGAGGGGGGTGGGCCCTGGGGTGCTTGCTACGTTTGATGGGCGTGTTAGTCCTTTTACTGATTGTAGCTTCCTGGTCCTGGGCCAGGGCGAAGCACGCGTGGCCCAGGATCACCGGCGACTGCTGATCGATCGGAGAGGCCGTTGCGCATCATCGATCCATTGCGAGGCGTAATCCAATATGTTGGCAGTCTGGTGCCAACCCACTTCTGGTAATTGCGGGCCCACTGGGATGTGCGCGGGCAGCTTCTGAGGCCAATGCAGCGCGGGGATAGTGTAGTTATCCTGGACAACAATGCCCATCGGCGCAGGTCGGTGAGGGGGGAGGGGGTGAGGGGCAAGCGTATGGGGGTCTCGGAGCCAAGCTGTGAGGCCTTGACTGGAAACAAACTAGTCTAGTGTCGACTTCGTCTTCTTTGTTCTGTAGGTGGCCGTCGACGGCGCCATCCCTGTCGTGGTAGACTTGGACAGAAATTCGGCCTGGGACAGCCTGGATGGGGTCAGGTTGAAATCTCCTGCAACCAACACGGGGTGCGATACATCGTCTTGGAGCTGGCCAATCGTGGCCAACAAGTTCAAATTGGTTTTGAGAGACCCGCAGCAGCCTGAAAGTAAGCGCTGCGCAAACCGATGTTTGGGACCCTTGGAAGCTCAAGGATCACCCCAGCTAAACGAGCAGGACCAACACCCGCTGGAATTTGCAACGGCTGGACGCCCAGGTCTAAACCGTCTCGATTCAAAATCGCAACTCCCGAGACCAAGTCATTGTCAGGGTCCCTGGCGGAAGGAGCTATGTAAGCCAACCACCCTTGCGCGGAGCACCTTTGAATCTGACGCACAATGCTCTCTCCATCGGCTAACCTACACTCCTGGGCACAAGCTATGGTCACTGCGCTGGCTTGAGGCGGCTGCAGAAACTTTCGCGCCGCAAGCCAGCGCGATCCGTTGGTGGCAGTGAGCTTATAATTCTGGTTACCCACCAGACGGGGCGGCACTCGCTGCCAAGGCGGACGTGGCAGCCGCCCTAGCCTTCTTGGCCTCAGGACCAGACTCGCCCTGGATCTTGGCCATGCCGCTCGCAACCTGCTCAAGGCCTCTTCAGCCCGCGCGCGGCCCTCCGACGCGTCCATCGGGGCAGCGTCGCCTTCGTCGTTGGACTTGTCAGCCTCGTCCTTGACCTCCTCCAGCTCCTTACCATCATCTGGCGTAGGCACATGTTGTCCTGGCGCAGGTTGAATAGGCTCGTCAGCGCGCTCACCAACTTTGGGAAAACCGTCTGGCTCCTCCTGCACAGGCACTGGCGTCTCACCCTTGCCTGCGCCTTTGGCCCGGGTCTGGAGGTCGGTGGCGTGCTGATGCTGCATCTGCGCCAGCTCCGATACTTTGGAATGTAAGTCAGATGATCTCTCCCCTCCTGCAGGCATCCTGGCGGCCAGCATGCCCTGGAGCGCGGTGAGGAGGTCCTCGTCCTTGGCTGCCTCATAGGCCGCCGTTTTGGTGGCCAGGTTGAGCTGGGACTCCAAGGGCTGCACTTCTTTGGTATTAGGGAGGAGGACAAGGAAGAGGAGGAGGAGGAGGAGGAGGAAGAAAAGGACGAGGAGGGGGAGGAGGAGGAGGAGGAGGAGGAAAAGGAGGAGGAGGAGGA